CTCACCACCTCGGAATCAGGCACAAACTCATCATCGTCCGTGTCCATCGTCGGTGATGGTGGTTGAAAATTTTTATTTTGCCGACGATTTGCACGAAAGATGCAACTTGACAGCGGTTGCTTGGGGCGTGTGCGTCACCCTTGCACCCCAAACCAGCGCAGATGCATGTGCAAGGCCGGCGTGGTGCTGCCGGGCAGCTTTCAAACGACTCAAATCCAACCACAAACGAGAAAAATAAAACCCTACCATTTCGTGTGTCGGGCACTATCACATCACACCGGGCAACAACAACAAGCCTTGCTCTGGCCTGTCCTATCCTGTCAACCGCAACACACACTGTGTGTGACTTCGTGAGAGTGACTGTGACTGTGAGTGTGCAGGTCTCTTGGTTGCATTTGTTGTGTGTTTCTTTGCCTCTCTGTCTCCGTCTCCCTGTCTGTCCCCGCCTCTCCGCCACCCCCTGTCACTTCCGCCACTCTCTTCTTCATGGACTCCAGGTTGCCACTGCCACACGCGATTCCAGTGAGCAGCACTGTGGAAACAAGGGTGGCACCATGGTGCTGACCAAGTCCAAAGCTGGCAGCGACAGCGCTCCGCGGCGTGCGTCTGAGCCGTCACAATCACCACAATCACCACCACCACTTATGAACATCCGCGATTGGCTGGAAACCCAGCGGACCAAGTATGGCAGGCGCTTCCGCATCCTCGCACGGCTGCCGCGAAACCACCCAAGCCCGGAGAAGGATCTGCCGACGCGTCGTCTCCGCAACCTCATCCTCGAATTTGTGCGCAACAACCCAAGATGGGCTCATCAGCAGCGGCACGCCAACAAGGCGGCCTCCGCACCCGACGAGCAGCAACAGCAGCAGCAGGACGGGGAAGAAGCAGCAGTTGAGCAGCAGCAGCAGCAGCAGCAGCAAGCAGATGAGCAGGTGCTAGCAGCCAGCGACTGTGTCATGGAGGCAAAGTGCACGGCCGATTCAAACCCAACCCCAAACCCAGAAAAGCGTCGCAAGCGGGCCACCTCCACGTCGTCATCGTGCTCCTCCACACTCTCGCAGGCGTCTTCACTCGGCTCTCCTGTTGACGCGCCCCACTCACCAACAGCTGTGGAAGCCACCGCAGCCAAAGCAGGGGGCCATGCGTCTGTGATTCCAGACATCGCTTCAATCACAGCCTCAATGCAAGGTGACCATGCAGACGCACCACATCGTGAACTGGGCGCTGCTCCATCACCACCATCACACCACCAAACAACTGCGCATTCACCTTCGACAGCAGCGTCACCAACGTCCACAACGACAGCGCCAACGTCCACAACGGCAGCACCTACCAATATGAAGCCGTGTGACGATGTTAAGTCAATGGGGACTGCAATCACAACTGCAGCTGAGATTTTGGCACAAGGGGTGACTCAGACCGAGACCGCGTCAAGTACCGCTGTTGTCAGTGGCCTCACGAGCACGGCTGACACGCGCCCTTCGTCCCTTGCCCCAGCATCACCGCATGCCAAGGAGGCACCATCGCCATCTACACCAGCAACACCACCAGCAGCATCAGCAACAACGCCAGCAACAGCAGCAGGAACGGCAACAGCAGCGATGGGGAAACCAGATTGTGGTAAGGCACATGTTCCACCCATCTCTGCCGGCGCAATGCTGCTGCGTAAGCATGCACATGCACGCATGCGTGCAGGCAGATGCGGGATGGCCGCTGATGCACCTCGCACGCTCCCCGTCACACCGCGAGGGCAACACGTGCGCGGTGGCGGCGTTGGTCTTGGTGGTGGCAGGGGTCGTGGTGTTGTGGTGCGGCGTGGAAGAGGTGGTGGTGTTGGCGGGGGTGTGGCAAGAGGTGGTGGTGTTGACTGGGGTGGTGTGGCACCAGCACCGATGAGCAGCAAGTCGTTTGGTGCCCACCCGCCAGCGGCAGATCCAGCCGCCACAGCCGCCACACGCTTACTCGCTGCCATTGCGCAGGCCAAGGCAGCCACCAGGCGATCACACCCACATCACCACGGGCAAACACGGCATCAGCCAGCACAACAACAGCAGCATCAGCAGCAACAAGAACAAGACCACCATCATCAACACCGGCACAACGAACCTGGTGCTGGTGCTGGTGGTGCACTGCAAGTGTCAAAGTCATCAGCGACACCAACGACACCAACGCCACCCACGCCACCCAGGCCATCATCATCATCATCATCGTCGTCATCATCAGTGATTCCATCAACAGCAGCACCCACACCATCGTCACCGCTGTCCGCACCAATGGCGAAGAAGAACACGGAAACACCGATGACGAGAAAAACAGGAGCAAACCAGCCACCAATACCAGCAACGACGACAACGACAACAACAGCAACAGCAACAGCAACAGCACCTGCAACAACGCCACCACCTACAGCAGCGAAACTCATCACTCCATCGACGCCAAGGTGCGCATCTGCACAGCCGCCTTCACGCAACTTCAACGCCAGACCCGTAGCCATTACCCTCCCAGTGGCTCGTGGTGTTGGTGCTGCTGGCGGTGGCATGAGAGGTCGTGGTGTTGGTGCTGTTGGCGGTGGCATGAGAGGTCGTGGTGGTGGTGCTGTGCGCCATGCTGGGATGGGTGGCAGTGTTGGGATGGGACGTGGTCTCACCGCTGCCATGCCACGACCTGGGGTGTCGGTTGGCCGTGGCATGAGGGGTGGTCGCAACAAGCGGGGCGCTGTAGGATGGATACACACGCGCGCTCCGTGGCAAAAGCATGCGTTCGACACGCCCGTGCCCAGTGCACGCCAGCTTTCTTTTGGTCGGGGTGGCAGGCGTGGCGCCAAGTTTGCATGATGCTGTGGTGACGCTTCTTATGGACACAACGGAAGGTCATACGTGTGTGTGTGTGTTGTGTTGTGTGTTGTGTTGTGTGTTGTGTGCGTGCGCGCGCGTGTGTGTTGTGTTGTGTTGTGTGCGTGTTGTGTTGTGTGTGTTGTGTTGGATGTGTTGGGTTTTCCCTGTGCGCCTGGTTTTTGGCGTGATTGTAACCGTTCACTTGACCCACAAAGGAATTGCTTTCTAAGTTGCACCACAAGTAAACATCAAGGAAGCCACCAGCAACAGAGCAACAATCACAATGCAATGATAGTAGCCAGTGAACAACAATGAACGTGTTCTCATTGCACGGTGCGCCAGAAGCATGTGGTGTTGTGATTACTGCGCGTGCATGCGCTGTGTGACGGCGGCGTCGATGCGTTTCGCTTCCGTCCACCCGTCAAGATCAAGCGACGAGCGGCCATAGCTCAGCGACACGAGCCTGTGCCACATGAGCGCGTGGGGTGGTGGTGTGAGTGAAGTTGGTGGGACGTGGGTAGGCTAGTGGAGAGCGCGCGCACACACAGACACACACAGACACACACACACACACATACACAAACACAAACACAAACACACACACACACACACATACACAAACACAAACACAAACACACACACACACACACACACACACACACACACACTCACTCACACAGAGCATGCATCACCTTGCAATGCCGAGCAAGCGGTGGAGGGCGTCGGCGGTGATGGACGGATCCTCCTGCCGCATTGTTGAAAAGTCGGAGCTGATTGCCTGCACGCATTTACACACACGCGTGCATCAGATGGCATGCAAGCATCGCCGTGAGCACTGCTTATTGTCGGGAAGAGTAGAGGGTAAGCAAGAGCTCGTGTGTGTGTGTGTGTGTGTGTGTATGTGTGTGTGTGTGTTTGTATGTACGTGCGTTTTCGTGCATGCTCACCTCCTGCATCTCCTCGGCAATGGTGAACTCCGCGTGCTTGGCCAAATCTGATCAGCAGAGAGGGTGAGGTGCCGATCACATGTGGGGTTGTGAACGGGTGAGCCAACATGGGAATGAGCCGCTGCATCAGGTACACGCTGCCACCAGCCAAACAGACTACGAAGGGACCAACAACAAGACCGACAGCCACCATCAACGTCACCATCAACGCCACCATCAAGGGCAGCAGCGAACAAGAACACCATCATTCCGCGCGACCGTGCCCACTGCCAGCTGCCAACCAACTATGGCGTACCCAGGTATGCCCTAATGGCGTCTGTCTCGTCGTCTGTAAGCTGTGGCGCCGTCACGTCAGCAGTGGGCGCAATCGGCACTTTGGTCGACACCTGTTGTGTGTGTGTGTGGGTGTGGGTGGGGGGGGGTGTTGCGGAGGAGCGGGGGGGGGGGGAAAGTGTGGACAGGGGGTGAGATAGAGATGCAGACATGCATAGAAGACAGACAGACAGACATTTACAAGTCACAGAGGTACACAAATACACAGACACACACACACAGATGCACACACACACACACACACACAGACACAGACACAGACACACACAGACACACACACAAACACAAACATAGACACAGACACACACACAGACACAGACATAGACACACACGCACAGATACACACACGCACACACAGAACATTGAAAGCAAAGTGAGGAGTCATGACTGACCGGCAGCATGGATTTTCCTTCCGACAGAACGAGAAGCTGCACATCAATGTCAAACATGATGGACCCTGTCGTGACAGCGGGGGTTGTTGTAAGATGGAGGTAAGATGAGAGGGAGGATGTGGTTTGTAACATGCCACGTGTGACGTGTGTACGACGCTACTCATCAGTGCTGGCACACTAACAACAAAAGCCTGGAACACAGACACACACCCATACACACACACACATGCAGATACGCACAGACACAATCTCGTCCCGCCTACCCCACCACCTCACCCATTTACGTTCACCATCTCACCTGCGTGTTCGAATTCGAATGCCACCTGCTGCGTGTCCATGGCTGTCTTAAGGGCCATGAGATTCGCGATCCCACGCTCGTTCAGCTGTCCGGCCTCCATCGCCGTCTCGTTTAGAATGACGTGGGCGTGGCGCGGCAGCTGCAGGAATCCAGCGGACAATTTGTCCGTCGATCCACTCCGCTTTGGGTTCTGCATACGTGTTTGTGTGTGTGTGTGTTTGTTTGTTTGTTTGTTTGTTTGTTTGTTTGTTTGTTTGTTTGGTTTTTTTTGTGTGTTTGTTTGTTGTGTGCATGAATGTGTGTGTGTGTGCCGACGAGTTATGTTCATGAATGCATACCAACCACACCACCACCATCACCATCACCACCATCACCACCATCACCACCACCTCGAATCACGGCTCCGCCACCATCCCTGACCATGCTCATGGTGTTGAGGCTGCGCAGCGACATGTCCAGGAGATGGGAGCTCGTCGTGATTGTCGACAGGAACGCATCCAACCTGTGCATAGGGGTGGTGGCGGTGGTGGTGAAAGAGGTGGTTGTGAGCCAATGTGCCGCAAAGCGCAAGTGCACGCCAATAAAGAACACACACACACACACACACACAGCAGAGTAGGTACACGCTGTAACCCCGAAGCCAACCCGTTATTCCCCCCTCTCCACGTTACCGTGCTGGGAGGTCTGCGAGCGGGCCGGTGACACCAAAGAGGTTGAGTGGGAACTGCCCGAGCGTCATTGTGCCATCCGCTGTGCGGGTGTGGCTGCATGGCACCATGGTGGTGGTGGTGGTGGTGGTGGTGACAGCGGTGCAGGGCGTGTAGTTAGAGGTGAGAAGGGCACGGGTGAAGCAGAAAGAGAATGTTCACATATGTGCAGACAGACAGACGCACAGACAGACAGAAAGACATACACAGACACAGACACAGACACAGACACAGACACAGACACACGCACACAGAGACACACAGAGACACACACAGACACACGCACACACACACACACACACGCACACACAGACACACACACACACACACAGACACACAAACACACACAGACACACAGACAATCGCAAAATACGCAATCGCATCACGCAACAGCACGTACACGCGAGAGATGAGGTGGAGGAGGAGGAGCGTGGCAGTGAGGTCATCGCCGCCAACGAGAGCGAGCAGCGCCCGGTGCAGTGGCGGCCGCGCATCAACAGCGGCACCAGGCAGCGCCGTTGCCACTGGTGGCCTCGGAAGGAAGAGGGGAGGAGGAGGAGGTGATGTGGTGCCGTGATCGGTTGAGTTGAAACACGGATCAGGGTTGCAGGCAAGTTTACGTACACATACAGACACATTCATAGGCACAGATACAGATACAAACACACACACAGAGGCACGCACGTACACACACAGAGGCACGCACGTACACACACACGTACACACACGTACACACACGTACACACACACACACACACACACACACACACACACACACACACACACACACACACACACAAATCGCCTCTCCCCTGGCTGACCGTGATTGAGGTGCGCCAGCTGCGGTGGGATGAGCGGGTTGTGGTGCTGGATGGTGCGCATGTGTATGCAGTGGATGCGCGGCAGTACTGATGACGGCGGCAGCGGCTCAGCAAAGGCGCGCTCCCTGCACCACCCGCAGTCATGGTGCAGCGGGGACGTTGTGGTGTGGTCGGTTAATAATGTGGTCGGTTCATGGTGGTGAGGTGGTGTGAGATGATGGTGGCGGTGTGAGATGACGGGGGTGGTGTGGTTCTGAATGAATGTATGCTGTGCAAGTTGGCGGGGAGCCTTGATCAGACAATTCTTAAGGCTTGAGGTGTTGTCCCGGGAATTCGCGTACAACCGACACCAAAGTACCACCACAAATAGACGTACACGCACAAGCACAAGCACACACATCGCCGCGACCACCGCCGTCATGGTCTCAACTCACTCGTCTGTGAGGGCGGACGGCGGCGTTGGGTCGTTGACATACACGCCGATGACTTCCACCATCTCGTGCAGCTTCACACCGGGATCGTCCCCGTACACCTGTCAACACACGCGCACACGTACACATATGTGAACACTCATGACCATGTGCAGGCGTATACGAGCACATGTCAACATACACAGATGCACACATGTCAACATACGCAGGGCAATTCCACAATTCAACACGACGTACACGAATGCACGCGTGAACCACAACACCACACATACCACATATCATACACCATCATTGCCGCCACCACCGACATCATCACAATCATCACCACACCTTGAGCAGTGCTGGTGTTCGGTCGTCGGGAAGCGGAAGATTGTGCACGTGCTCATCCGCAACGCGCGCACCCGGGGCTGCGGTGGTGGTGGATGTGGTCAATGGTGGATGTGTGAGGAACACAGGTGGTGAATTAAGCAGCAGTGGTTCTTTTCTGCCGTTGTGCAATGCCGGACACGCACACAGACACACACACACACAAACACTAACACACACACACTAACACTCACACACAGACACACATTCACACCCACTCACACACAGACACAGACACACAGACACAGACACACATACACACACACACACACACACACACACCCACTCACACACAGACACACACACGGCGCCAGTGTAGGCTGCTCATGTCCCATCTTACCCTGTCCATGCTGCTGATGTGAATCACCATCGTCGTCGATGGTGGTCGCCGTCATGTCGCCCGCCCTCTTCTTCGCTGTCATCGTGGAGGACAATGATGATGGTGTCGAGCAATTGGTGGTGAGAACATTTGCGAATGACACGTTTGCACATGCGCACAAACAAACACAAACGAACATGAAGAGGTACACAAACAGACAAACACTCGTGCACACAGACACACACAAACACACTCTCACATACATGCATACACACCTGGAAACTGTTGCTGCTGCTGCTGCTCTGCATCCATCTCCATGCCTCGTCCGCGACCATCACCATCATCATCACCACCATCACCATCATCGTCGTCGTCGTCGTCGCCTTCATCCATGGTCGCTCGCTTGGTGGCACCGGGGCGCACCCGCTCCCCCGCCACACGCGCTGTGCGGGTGACGAGCACAGCAAGCATGGCGATGGTAGAGTATAGGGCGGAGGGGTGAGTGTGTAGTCGCTGATGCACACACTGTGAATGCACACACACAACATACACAACATACACAACATACACAACATGCACAACATACACAACATACACACCAGGCACACACAACATACACAACATACACACCACGCACACACACACACACACGCAAACAAACCTGTTTGAGGTGCGGATGCGGCGAGGTGCTGGCGGACCCACGTGTTCTCGGCGGGAATGGGCACGCAATGCAGTGTGTGGCGTGACTTGTACACGTTGTGCTGCGAGTCAAAGTCAATCTCCCAGTCCTCCTGAGTACGCACGGATGGAGAGAGAGAGAGAGAGAGTGTGTGTGTGTGTTGAGGGGGGGGGGGAGGAATTGATGAAGGGGTGATGAGGGAGGGTGTAATGCAGCACATAGTGCAGTACGCGCTACTGGCGTGTGAAACACGTGACAAGCGGCAGCAAGGATGCACCGCTGCACCAAGTTCTTCCTCCCCCCCCCCACACACACGCACACACCTTGGTGTTGGTCATATCACGATAGCGGCTGGTGTGGACGGCTGTTTCGCCCTGTGGCCCTCGCGTTGCGTACACGTCCAGATAGATCTCCGGATTGTGCGTGGCCTGTGTGTTGTGTGGCATGTTTGGGAAGCGTGAGTTTGGGGTACACATCGGCACCTGCGTCCAGTGGAGGCGAGGGTGCGCGTGCGAACACACAGCGCAGACAGAAAGGCAGACACACTCACTCACACAGACACAGACATAGACACAGACACACACACACACACTCACACACACACACACACTTGAATCATGCCACGGAAGCGGACGAGCGAGTTTGGTGGCAAGTACATGCGGTCCACATCGTGCAGTGAGGGAATCTGGAATGACAAAAAAAAACACAGTGAACACGAGGAGATGAGCTGAACGGAGAATGGGAATGCAGCGCCGTCACTTTGAGTATTCACACACACACACACAGATGCACACGCACGTGCACACGCACACACACACGTACGCGCAGAGATGTACCTGATCACGCGCGTCGATGACCTGCTGCATCAACTCATCTGGCAGCGAAAAGGAACCGGCAGGCGCTCCCGCTACAAAGCATAGCGTTGCAGAGGATGAGGCAGGCCATAAGTCAGCACACAATAGGAACACTGAAAGCACACATTCAAACACACACACACACAGACACATGCACGCACATGCACGCACATGCACACACATGCACACACACATGCACACACACACATGCACACACATGCCGCACAAACTCTTCTTCTGATATCCGCCTTGATTACCCTGCACAATTTCCACAAACGCTGCGTCGATGGCCTCAAGCGGACGCTTCACATCCATGCTGACTTAATTCAGTCGAGAAACAAAAAGAACTGAATACAGTCTCCCTTCATGCATGTACTGAAGTGGGTGGTCGCGACACGACAGACAGAAGTGTCAGGGTGGTCGCAGGGTGGTCGCGACACGACAGACAGAAGTGTCAGGGTGGTCGCAGGGTGGTCGCGACACGACAGACAGAAGTGTCAGGGTGGTCGCAGGGTGGTCGCGACACGACAGACAGAAGTGTCAGGGTGGTCGCAGGGTGGTCGCGACACGACAGACAGAAGTGTCAGGGTGGTCGCAGGGTGGTCGCGACACGACAGACAGAAGTGTCAGGGTGGTCGCAGGGTGGTCGCGACACGACAGACAGACGTGTCAGGGTGGTCGCAGGGTGGTCGCGACACGACAGACAGAAGTGTTCTGTTCGGTTGAATTATGTAATAAAATAATATAATACGGCGGTGATTCCATGCATATGTAAACAATCGTTCTTTTCAAAGCACGCGTGTTGTTGGATGCAGCTTGTCCGAGAAACACAACGCAAGAACAGCCCACGACGAACTGTTGCTGTGTTCGATGCTGTCGGTTGTGGTTCCCCCCTCATCCCTTCCACCTTCTCGTTCCACCTTCTTGTTCCATCCCTCCTTCACCCCACCAACGACAACAACAACAACAACACATATCGAAACAGCGGCAGCTACACGCACACACCATTGCTTCATCGTCCATCCAGCGAGCGTGAAGCAATCCATCAATCCATCAACCAACCAAACCATCAACCAACCAACCAACCACACACGACGTCCACACGCACACTCACACACAAGCGCACTCACATCACCACACGACGCGTGCACATACGTAAGAAAACAGTGACATTTTACACCGACACCCGCCTTCCCTCCCACCTTTGACCGGCAGCCACCATGTCTGGAGCAGGCAAGGGCGTCTTGGCCAAGGTCAAGGCGCTGCTGAGCAAGGCCAAGGTGGCATTTGCCAACGGCACCAACAGCTCAGCACCAAACGCCTCCACCGCTGCGGGAGCAAGCGCACCAACAGCAACGCCGACAGCGACCACCGCCGCCCTCGCCACAAACAACACACCGTCGTCCTCGTCGCCTCCCTCGCCCATCGCACATGACACGGTCCTCGCCTCTGTCACCGCGCCTAAGCCAACCATGAACTCAGCCGCGCTCGTCAAGGGCGGCACGGCAGCGCTCCCGCCCTCTCCACAGGCCACCCTCCACACCATCGCCGCAGCCACCAGTACCGCAACAGCAGCAGCAGCAGCGGCAGCAGCAACCTCATCTAACCATACCGTGCGTTCGGTGCTCATGCCTGGCAGCACCAGCACACAGCACCAGCAGCAACAACAACCCCAGCAACAGGATCAGTGGTTGTCTGGTGTCTCCGTCGATGATGACCTGGAGCACGCATCAACAGCACCCATGACAACTACAGGCGTGACAACGACAGGGGTTGATGATGGGGCGCCCGCCATGTTTGCACCGCCATCACAGGTCTGGCACAAGCCTACCATCCAGCATGACGGCGCCGCCGGCAGCACCCTTGCCCACTTCATGGGTGCTGCGCCACCGCCAGCGCGCCAGCACCCCGTCGATGCCAAGTTGGAGGAGGTGCAGAAGCAAGTGGAGGTGCCCAAGGAGCACCCTGCAGCGCGCAGTCCGTTTGCGGTGCTGCTGCGGGACGTGATGGCGGGCTCGTGCTCGGGCGTTGCCATCACGCTCGTCGGCCATCCGTTGGACACGGTCAAGACGCGGCTGCAGGCGCAGTCCACGCATCGCATGTACACGGGCACGCTCGACTGCATCAAGCAGACGCTCAAGAACGAGGGCGTCGCAGGCTTCTACAAGGTGCGCGCGTGCGTGTGTGGTCGTGTGTGGTCGTGTGTGTGTGTGCGTGTGTGTGTACGTATACTGGTGTCTACCGGCTGCGTTGCTGTTTGGGGGAGCACGTGACGACTGAAGCTGTTCATGCGCGTGTGCGTGCATGCGTGCGTGGATGCATGCATGGATCAGCACCATTTCCACGAGCGTTAACCACCCAGTGCCACCCACCATCACACTCGCACGCACGCGCTTTCTGCAGGGCGCTGCGTCGCCGCTGTGCATGTATGTGCTGTACTGCTCGGTGTACTATTCGTCGTACATCCAAGCGCGCCGGGTGTTTGGCATCCCGGACCGTTCAGTCCCCGCCCCGGCCCACCTTATGCTCGCCTCCTCCGCTGTTACCGGTATCTGCACATCGTTTGTTCGCACGCCCATGGACCTCCTCAAGACAAAGGCGCAGACGCTCCACTTTTCAACGGAAGCGACAGCACCAGCAGCGTCAGCATCGTCGTTGTCGTCGGGGGCTGCGTCGACGTCCTCGCATCCACGACACGTGGCCACATGTACAACTGCAGCAGAGGGCAAAGCCCGCGTCCCAGGTGTGTTTGCATGTTTGTGCGTGTCTGCATGTCTGCGTATGTTGTGTGTGTGTGTGTGTACGTGTGTGTGTGTGTGTGTGTGTGTGTGTGTGTGTGTGTCTGCGTGTGTTGTGTGTGCCTGCGTGTGCGTTGTGTTGATCCAACCTTTCGGTTTGCGCATGTCGGCTCCGCCTCGCACCACATCCCCCCCCTCACCTCACATCCCCCCCCCCTTCTGCTCTTCACCCGCTCACACACACACACACACACACACACACACACACACACACACACACACACACACACACACACACACACACACACACACACACACACACACACACACACACACGCAGGCACGCTGCGCATTGGCATTGAGATGACGCGGCAGTTTGGGCCCACCGCCCTCTTCCAAGGGTTTGTCCCCACGCTCGCCCGTCAGGTGGTGGGCGCATTCGCCTGGTTCTTCCCCTACGAGTATCTCAAGCAGCGCGTGGGTGACGGCCCTGCCTCTGTGTTCCTGTGCGGCGGGCTCGCGTCGTGGGTGTACTGGACGGCGGTGTATCCGATTGACTCGGTCAAGACGCGGATTCAGGCCGACACCGCCGACCCGGCCACCCGCCGGTATACGGGCTGGACGCAGTGCTTCAAGCACATGCTCAGGTGTGTAGGTGTGTGCATGTGTGTGTGTGCATGTGTGTGTGTGCGTGTGTGCATGTGTGTGTGTGTGCATGTGTTACATGGACGCCTGCGTCGCTGCGTACGGTCTCGCTTCCATGCAAACACCCAATGCCACCATGGCTACAGTCCACCCCTCACTTCCTTCCATCCACTCACGATTCCATCAACTTCACGCCCCTCCCTCCCTTCCTCCCTCACATCCTTGTGTTGTTCAGGTTTGAGGGCCCTCGCTCGTTCTTCGGCGGCTTTACGGCGTGCATGCTGCGCGCATTCCCCGCCAACGCCGTCGGTATCCTTGCATACGAGCTCGCGAGCAAGACCATCGACCAGCGCATCATAATGGAGTCGTGAAGTGTTGATGCATGGATATCTGACGTATGGATGATGTTGATTGAGGAGTAGCATGTATGATGAGGAATAGGCAACTTGCACACGTGTTGGCGTGCGTCAGGCCCTGCATTCGTGTATGCCCGCTGTGCATACATGCATGCTCGAAGCAAGGCATAGAAACACATGACGGTTTCAACCCGCTCCAGACTCCACTGCTGCTCCCCCTCCCCCCCCCCCCTCTCTCTCTCTGCACGACCCGTTCCCATGAATCACCCCAGGCCAATTCCTTTTAGCCAATGCCCCCTCCACACCCCTCCACTTCCGATCGCCTGCAAAGGCGTCTGTATTGAACCCCACTTTGTTCATTCATAGCTCGGCGTGTTTGTTTGCGCACGTTTTGAGGCTTTGCTTTTTGTTTCGTTGCTTCCTCCTCCCTTTGGTCCCCTAAGCTGACAACCCGACCCCTTTACAGTCTTGACTCGCCCTTGTAATCGAACATGCTGTGTTGCCATGTTGCCAAGTGCCACACTTTGACTCTTCCTTTTTTCTGTCGGATTTCGCAGCCGCATTCCGCTGTTTGTGGTGGTGGCATGCGCTCATTCCTGCGGCCGCCTGTTCATAGCCAGCGCGTTTGCTGTCATTGCGTTGCGTCCACTGTCTTACAACCCCTTCCCTTAACAACCCCCCCCCCTTCCTTTCCCCCTCTGTTCTAAACTCGTGGCTGTTCCTCTGCGTATGTCGCGTGTGCACCTTGTGTGCTCTATTTTATCACGTGCGCCGTGACTGCGTATTTCTTCCCCAACCACCGCTTGCATAAACACACACACACACCGATAAGCACACCAGCACGAACCCCCTGCGTGCATTTGTCTTGTCACTCGTTCATTCTTTCATTCAATTGTTGCATCAGCAACCGCCACCCCAAAGCTCTCACAAGGCTTGAACAAAGCGCGCACACAAATCATGCACGCACACGCGCAAAATCACTGGCCATCTATCATCACATCAACAACACCAACAATCACACACAAGTTAACATGCATGTACGCGTTCAAGACAGTCACACCTCGACACGCAGTGCCCTTCAAACGACACAAACAGATGAAGCTGCTCGATAACACCAACTGCTCGATAGCACCAACAAATCTCTCGCAACTCCAACATATACACACACGTGCACACAATTCGCACACACACATACATGCACACACACACATACACACACACACACATGCATGCACGCTGTCCCGCTTAAACAAAGGTTCCCTTGGAGGAGAGGGCAATGTGCTTGACCTTTTCGCTGCCTTGTCTGTACACCACGTGCCTGTCATCCCTCCTGTCGGCATCATCGTCGCCACTGCCACCACCGCTGCTGTCACCACACTCCACGTCACCACTCGCCGTCGCCTTGACGTCTTCCCCAGTCGCGGTGTTGTTGCTGCTGCTGGGGTTTCTGCTGTGTGCGGGCACAACACCGCCACACCGCGGCGTATCCAGACACATCTCTACTGTCGACGTGCTGTACCCGCTCGATCGCGCGACGCTCGCGTCAGACCCGCCACGCATCGCCATCACCAGCACGCGACCAGGCACCGCGGGCGGCGGTGATGCTGTTGTCGATGTCGTGTTCGTGGCGGTGGTGGTCGCTGGTGCCGTGGGAGAGGGTGATACTGCCTGTGATGACGAGGGCGGTGGCGACGGCGACGGTGCGTGTTCGTCAACGCTCGCATCCTCGTCCATGTCATCGCCACACCCCTGAGCACCATCACCGCCGCAGTTCTCACCACCGCAGTCATCACGGGCATCATGGATGCCCTCTGCATGTGTGGTGGTGAGGCCATTGTTGTGGGTGCCCGCCACCACTTCGCCCTCAATCACCGCTGTCGCTGCCAAGTGGTCGTCAACACCACCCGACACCTTTGCCGCCGACGCTCGCGACACAGCGGAGTTTGCAGATGAGGACAGTGCGGATGCGGAAGCTGATGACGACAACGACGACAACAGCAGGGCGGTTGTTGCTGTTGATGAGACCTGCCGATGCAGCGGCCTCGCCCGACGCGCGTGACGCAAACTATCACCACCATCCAATTCACCATCCATATCATCGTCATCACCATCATCGTCGTCATCGTCGTCGTCGTCATCGACATCAACGTCACCATGACTACCACCGCTGCCACTGGGATGATCGTGCTCGTCGTCGTGCTCGTGCAATGGGGGCGGCACCGCCAGCAGCGATTGGCGGCGCGTTGCTGGCGACGACTGCGACGTCGGAGTTGCGCTCATGTCCGGTGTTGGCGCCGTGACATAAGTCGTTGGGGGCGTTGTCTCTGGTCGCGGGCGCCGCCCCCTTCCGTCATCACTCCGCCCTGACGGCGACGAGATCAGCACGCCGCTGCCACGACGCCCCGCCCCCACGTGTCCAAACACATTCGCACGCGCCACCGGGGACGATGACACGGCCCCCGCCGCCCGCGACGCTGATTCGGATGCTGATGCTGACGACGGCTTGGCTGGTGGTGTGAATTCGCGAGAGAGCGGGCTTCCCTCGCGATACGGTCCAAGCTCAAGCGCATTCAGACTCGAACGGCGGCGCTGCTGTAGTTGGTGCTGTTGGTCAATGGGTGAAAACAACGCACCAGCAGTACCGCTCGTCGCTGTTGTCGTGGTGCCTGCGCTGGTGTTGGTGGTACCTCTGGCGAATGTCGGTGATTCAACCTCTGATGCTGGTGACAGTGACCCGATAGCATGCACGTTGCCATCGCGCCCGCTGCTGTGCACGGCAGCCGGTGACGCCGTGGGGTTCGTGTTCGTGTCGCCGTCCGCGTTGCTGCTGTTCACGGCGGTGCTATTGCTGCTGCTGACAGGGCTGTGGACGTCGCTCATCGCCACTGCGCGTCGGGCAACGTCAGATCGCGATCGCCGGCGAGACGACACATCATCAGCATCGCCATCAGCACTGTAAACAGCACCACTTGGCGCCCCGTCTGAACCGTGGGAACCCGCAGATGCAGGCTCGAGCGCAGCCGTGGCAGTAGCTGTGGCGTCTGTTGAGGGAGATAATGGTTGTGGTTCAGGGCCGTTGGGTGATGACAATGTTGCTGCTGCTGATGTTGTGACAGTGTGGATCGCATCGTCATCAGCAACACCAGCAGCTGTGTATGAAAATTCGATCACAGCTGCATCCCTTCCTTGGGCATCACCATCATCACCGCCGACACCACAATCATCGCCGCCACTCGTACCACCGATCAGTGATGCGATGGGCGTTGTGGCCGTTGCCGTTCGGTTGAAGCCCCGCGATCGCGCACGTGCATCCGAGAGTGTGACGTTGGACTTGGTGCGTACCATCGCTCCGCCGCTGCCACTTCGACCGCTATGGTCGCCGCCACCATTGGCACTGTTTCTGCTCGCTATCAGGGAGATGGAGGAAGCAGTGCCGCCCGTAACCGTCGCCATATCGACACCGCTGTAGCGGGAGTGCCGGGTACCGCGAAGCATGCCCGGCACGAGATGTCCAGACAGGTTGCGTGTCATGCGCGTGAGGCTGGCGGACGTGGAGTGGCTGGAGGGGTGGCCGGGGCTACTGGCTGCACTGCGGTGGCGCGGCACGGAGTGGTGGTGGTGGTGGTGTGTACGCATGGAGATGGACGGGTCTGGCACGCCCTGTTGAACAAGCTCATCCCTCACAAACGAGCACATCTGATCGCGAGGCAAAGTAAATCGAGATGCGGGGTGGAGAATGGGGTTGGAGTATGATGAGGAAGTGAGTCATGCAGCAAGCGTGTGCGTATGTGAGTGTAAATGGAGATACAAACATCATTCACCCTGATGGACTTGCGTCATCTTAACCACCATCGTCATCGTCATCGCCACCACCACCACCACCACCACCACCACCACCACCACCACCATCACCACCACCACCACCGCAGCGCACCGAGTTGAAGCGGCGACAGAGGTCCATGTACGCCGTCTTGAGGAGGAGGTACTGTGATGACGGC